GAAAAAAGCCTAACAGTACCGCAACCTCGGATTTTCCCCATACAAAAAAGAGGGGCAAAAATGAAATTACCTACTGCTCCACTCCTAGAGGTTGTGCCAACATGCACGGTATATGGGTAGATAGGGGATAATCTAGGGACTGTTCTGTGAAAGTTTTATCAAAATCAAACCCACAGATTTTGAGAAAATTGCTTAACAGTTGGGGGTGTTAAAAAGGTTATTAAAAGGCCGTTTAATCCAGAAACGGAACCATTGGATACTAAGACATAAACCACAATGTAAACAGCTTAGCCATGACAATCATTCGACGCTAACTTTCTATAACTTTATACAGCTCTCACAGGGGTTGTGCCAACTTGCACGGTATCGCATTCGAAGGGGCATCATTATAGCTAATTTCTGAATAAATTACAGGCAATTCAAACCCACAGTTTTCGAGAAATTCAAGTCTTTTCAATTATGGCTTTTGCCACGCGGTCACACTGTCAAGGCCTGCGATAAATCGTATGACCCGTGACATCAACCATCAAAATATATATGCAAACTTTAATTAATTCATACAGCTCTCACAGAGGTTGTGCCAACTTGCACGGTATCGCATTCGAAGGGGCATCATTAAAGCTAATTTCTAAATAAATTTCAGGCAATTCAAACCCACAGTTTTCGAGAAATTCAAGTCTTTTCAATTATGGCTTTTGCCACGCGGTCACACTGCCAAGGCCTGCGATAAATCGTATGACCCGTGACATCAACCATCAAAATATATATGCAAACTTTAATTAATTCATACAGCTCTCACAGAGGTTGTGCCAACTTGCACGGTATCGCATTCGAAGGGGCATCATTATAGCTAATTTCTGAATAAATTACAGGCAATTCAAACCCACAGTTTTCGAGAAATTCAAGTCTTTTCAATTATGGCTTTTGCCACGCGGTCACACTGTCAAGGCCTGCATATATATTTTGATGGTTGATGTCACGGGTCATACGATTTATCGCAGGCCTTGGCAGTGTGACCGCGTGGCAAAAGCCATAATTGAAAAGACTTGAATTTCTCGAAAACTGTGGGTTTGAATTGCCTGAAATTTATTTAGAAATTAGCTTTAATGATGCCCCTTCGAATGCGATACCGTGCAAGTTGGCACAACCTCTGTGAGAGCTGTATGAATTAATTAAAGTTTGCATATATATTTTGATGGTTGATGTCACGGGTCATACGATTTATCGCAGGCCTTGGCAGTGTGACCGCGTGGCAAAAGCCATAATTGAAAAGACTTGAATTTCTCGAAAACTGTGGGTTTGAATTGCCTGAAATTTATTTAGAAATTAGCTTTAATGATGCCCCTTCGAATGCGATACCGTGCAAGTTGGCACAACCTCTGTGAGAGCTGTATGAATTAATTAAAGTTTGCATATATATTTTGATGGTTGATGTCACGGGTCATACGATTTATCGCAGGCCTTGACAGTGTGACCGCGTGGCAAAAGCCATAATTGAAAAGACTTGAATTTCTCGAAAACTGTGGGTTTGAATTGCCTGTAATTTATTCAGAAATTAGCTATAATGATGCCCCTTCGAATGCGATACCGTGCAAGTTGGCACAACCCCTGTGAGAGCTGTATAAAGTTATAGAAAGTTAGCGTCGAATGATTGTCATGGCTAAGCTGTTTACATTGTGGTTTATGTCTTAGTATCCAATGGTTCCGTTTCTGGATTAAACGGCCTTTTAATAACCTTTTTAACACCCCCAACTGTTAAGCAATTTTCTCAAAATCTGTGGGTTTGATTTTGATAAAACTTTCACAGAACAGTCCCTAGATTATCCCCTATCTACCCATATACCGTGCATGTTGGCACAACCTCTAGGAGTGGAGCAGTAGGTAATTTCATTTTTGCCCCTCTTTTTTGTATGGGGAAAATCCGAGGTTGCGGTACTGTTAGGCTTTTTTCTCGAAAACTGTGGGTTTGATTTTGATGAAACTTTCAGACAAGGAGCTTGAATTAACCCTTAATAGCTTGGTTTATCGTGCATATTGGCACAACCTCTGTGAGGGGAGCAGTTAACAAAATTGTGGGGACACGATTTTTCAAATGCATTTTTGAAACACTAATAGGCCTCGTATGTGTCCCAAACCTACCTAGCTCGATAGATCTTTTCTTTCTTAACAATCTAGCATTTTAGATTTTTCGATTTGGTCCCCAAATAGCGAGAAAATTTAAAAATAAAAAGAGCCCCATGTTCCATATTCCACCGTTCCCGTTTTCGTTGCTAACAGGCCGACGCTAATTTGACGCACATACATTATCAGCAATAGTAGTAGGCGGGATTTCCGCGAATTCAAACTTTTAATTTAAAAATAAAACTTTTTAAAGGTTGTTATTCAAGGGAACGCCTAATTCTCAATTTTAAAATTTCACGGGTTTTAATGGGCTGGTTAATAAAGACCAATGACTGTGGAAACTATAAACTTTACTACATTTCAAGGGCTATTAAGAAGTATTTCACTGAAAACTGGAGCCTGGATTTAATTATACTATAAACTTCCGCCCACTTTACTACCAGGCAAGATCCGTCCAACAGCCTGAAAATCATATATTTATAAATTTCACATCGATTTAATAACCCTTTTCCATTCGAAATAAAACATATTTTAGACTTTAAAATGTATTTACCTTGCGACACAATTACACAAGTCAGAGCACACTGTTGTATTTAAATATTAAAACAACATCATTTAGTTATTGTACAATAAAAAATATCTGCTTCCCTTTGCATACAAAAAATCTGAAACTGCACCTGATGATCTTAAAAACTAAGTACGTCCTCATCAAACAAGAAGTTATAGTATATATATGCGTGCGAGCCCCGGACGGCACCGCTTTAAATGATTTTGTGAACATCAAAACTAAGAAATACAACTTAAAGAAGCAATAGGCTAATAATTTGTGTCCAAATGTTGTAGATAGTCGAAATATTAGTTGTATTTGTGGGTTAGGTCTGTAGTTGTGGTTGGATAGTTTAAGGGCCGTTTCTGGCTAATGGGCTCTAAAGCGTTTCCGTCTCATATACACAAAATCGTAGGCATAAGTACGTCGGCACACTTGCTGGCTGGTTAATGCACGTTGATGATGGACTCGCGACCCTTTCCTACGCCCACCCAGCGCACGGGAACACTTAGCTCGCTCTCCAGGAACCGGACATAGCTCTGGGCATTCTCCGGCAGCTCCTTGAAGTTGCGTATGTGCTCGGTGGATGTCTGCCAGCCTGGCAGCACGGCGTACTCCACCTCAATGCTTCCCAGTTCGGCAATGGTGCCTGGGAAGTGGTCGAGTTTCTCGCCACTGGGCTTCTTGTAGCCCACGGCCACCTTGATCTCCGGCAGCGTGTCGAGAATGTCCAGCTTGGTCAGACAGATGCAAGTGTAGCCGTTGACCAGCGACGTGTACTTCAGCAGCGGAATGTCCAGCCAGCCGCAGCGGCGCTTTCGCTTGGTGGTGACACCGATCTCGAAGCCGCGCGTCTGCAGCAAGTCGCCAATTTCCTGAAAAAAGAGTATATTATAAGCAACGTTATACAAAGGATTAACCAAGATTCCACTCACATTAAGCTGCTCGGTGGGGAAGGGACCGTCGCCCACTCGTGTCGTATAGGCCTTGACCACGCCAATCACCTCGCCAATCGTCTGCGGGGGCAGACCCAGACCCGTGAGAACTCCGCCAATGCTGCAGTTGCTGCTCGTCACATACGGGTACGTGCCGAAGTCAATGTCCAGCATGGCCGCGTTGGCGCCCTCGACCAGGATCGTCTTGCCGTTGCGCAGGGCGGTGTGCAGGAAGCAAATGGTGTCCTTGACATAGGGACGCACCTTATCCGCGTAGTCCTTGTAGCGGGCCAGCTCCGCCTCCACGTCCACATTAATCGATGGGAACAGGCGCACGTGCGTGGCCACAATCGACTTGAACCTAATGGGGGTCAAAGAGGGCGGTTAAAATCTGGGTTCCCCGAGTTCCCCGGGCACAACTCCTCTCACTTGTCGCTAAACAGGTTGAAGTCACCGAGCAGTTCGCCCACTCGGATGCCGTTGCGAGTGGCCTTGCTGGAGTAGGCCGGACCGATACCCTTCTTGGTGGTGCCGAGCGATTTTCCGCCCTTTTCGGCTTCCTGCATACCGTCCACATGCTGGTGGAAATCAAACACTAGGTGGGCACGATCCGAGATGATCAGCCGGTTCTCCGGAAGCTGCAGCCCCTTGGCTTCGTTCTTCAGCACCTCGTCGAACAGCGAGGGTAGATGGATGACGACGCCATTGCCTGTAAATGTCAAGTATGCGTTTTAGTATGCGTTCTTAATTTCGGGGGATTTCCCCATCTGCAGAGCAGTGCATTAAATGAGTAATAAATAACCAGCGAACTGCAGTTGGGTGTCATGTGATTGCAACGGCAGTGTGATTTACGTAAGGGGGTTCCGAAATTGGGCTCCGTAATGGCCTCTGCAATTGCCGTGAACTCATTTCGGTAATTGGAAAACTTTTAATGGGAGGCAAGTATATTTAATATAGTGTTTAAGGAAGGAAAAAAAACTAAAATATTGGTTTTACAGATTTCTAACATTGTATTTTTTGCCTATCACCTATAAAAACTAATACAATTCGACGATCGAGGTCTCAAATTCCTAAGAATGTGTTTAAAAGCTTTTATAACAGTCTGGACTAATCACCTAGAATTAGTCTTCAATACTTGGACTTTCTTTAAGGGTCGCTATAAAAAGTAATCAAGATAAGGCGTTCTTTGTTTAGCTTTAATGTCACATAAGAACCGCTAGGAAAATCGTAAGATTAAGCCGCTTTTAAAGGCTGATATCTAAATCGGGGAGAGACATTGTTGCATAACAAACAGGCAAGTTGACGAAACGGGAGTCCATGGATCCAATTTGGAAATCATAATGCCAAGGCACGCGAGCCGGCTTAACGAACGGGGTCGTTTGGAATTGAGCACCGAGGGGCTAGGAAATTAAAAATAATAAGTTAATTGCCTGATTAGAATAATTTTCCGTTACATGTGAGCCCGAGTGTGTTTGTGGCTGAGTGTCATAAACGATATCTAAACGGCAAAAGCTCTCGGGGACTTGTTATGGGGTTTCGCCGCTGGGCTGGTGCGGTTCTGACTATCTCATAAATTAGTCTTGTGACAAACGATGACAGTGCGGATTGGGTTGTTGCTCTGGACAAACAGTGTCACCCACGACCACACACCCTACATGCAACATCGATTAAACTTTGACAAAGTTGCGAAAATATTGACGAACAGGCGACCTTGGCGGTGACAGTCAGTGACGTCACTCTGGCACTGGCTGACACAAAGGTAATATACATTGTATATGTACTTTCCCCGGCTCTGATTTAATTATCTCAATTGCTTATCTTCAGAAATAGAATGTAGAAAACCTTTCATTTTCATGGGCATACGGTGCACCAAAGTCGAAAAACAGACCAACTGACCCGCAAGCCAATGTCAATGATGCACTAAATCTTGCCAGAAATTCCTCGCCTACATCTGCCTTTGTATATATCAGAATAATAGAATCGGAATATAGATGCATACATATATGTTTGCTCGATACGTTCAATTTCAGTTTCCCATAGAGCGAGTAAAAGCTCAAAGCAAAACAAACCGACAACAGACCGTATATTTACAAACTATACTGTATGCGAAAATTCTGTATATATATATAAATTTAAAATCAAGAAAACAAAAGTGGGATGGCGTAGAGGAAAGGAATTGCTTTTTTACTTTCATTGACAAGCCTTCTCTATATATTTTCCTAACAGAAATAAAGTGTACTAAGAAAACTCAATAAGTGTACATTATTTTCATGGAATAGGTGGGAGATACTTGGGGCAAAATCAGTTTCTAGCACATTACTGCTTATAAGTAAGGATGCAGGGTAAAAATTTTAGCGCAGTAGCATTAATAGATTGGTATCTTCGCAGATTCCTAACATTTCAAACAAAGGTATTTGTATATAAAAGATATACACCTATACTGCCCTGATAATATCGGAACAAATTTAAATTTAAAATTGATAAAAGAAAAACGGAATGACGCATGCTTACTTGGACAACTAATCATCATATCAGAACCATAGTTCTTGCTCGCTTTTCTCTCAAAACTGCATTGATCCTTGCAGATCCTGGCTATATATTTTCTAGGTCCAGGTACTGAACTTACCGATGACGGAAACGCACTTCTCGTTCACAACTCCACTGGGCAGGAGATGAAAGTCGAACTCCGTGCCATTAGCCACCACAGTGTGTCCAGCATTATTGCCGCCCTGTGGAGAGAAAAGATTGAAAAATGAGCTCTACATTTTCGAGATATACAAAATAGGTATAGGTGTTGATATACAAAATTAGCATTATTTGTTTTGCTTTCGCTTGTGCGACGGCAGAGCAGAAAAACAAAGCTTGTGTGAAAAATAAATAAATATTATGGGTATATTTTGCAAATTGAATAACACATAGCCCATCGAACGGGGAATATTTGTCCCACGTGCCCAGATATAATATCAAATGACAATAAGCGAAAACGTTTCCACACATACAGATAACTACGACTATATTCACGTAAGCACTCGAGAAATTTAATGTGTTTTTCCTTTTCATTTTGGCAACTGTACAAAAAAAATGTCTACATTTTGCTAATCTAACGAAATTTGTTTTCTATGTATATTAATACACTGTAAGATGAATACAAAAAGTGATTAGCGGCGGAAGAGTGAAAATTCTGGAACCTTCACAAATCATTGCTAAAAACCAAAAACAAGATAATCAAAATGTTTACGCGGTGCCAAGGAGAGGGCTTATGGCTTATAGTCCGGGTCTGTGATAAGATACGGGGAAATGGCGAGATCGCAATCTGGGGTTCCCGGTTCCAGTTCCTGTCCATGGCCTTTCGCGACGCAATATACGGAATTCAGAATATAGTTACAGATACAGACTATAGAATACATAATAATGTCGTAATCGGAATCGCCGTAGGGGCGTGTCAGTCGTGTGACTCAGTGCGATAATCAATTGGGGATGTTATTATATAAGGGGGCACTGATAACGCCTCTTTGATTCTGCTGAACTACTTTGATGGATAGAGCCTGCTCTTCGCGGCATATCGTCCATTGAACTGCGTAGGTGGTTCTGAGAAATCAACAAGTTGTTTGGCATAAACAATCCATTAATAACACGCAATGCCCTAATCCCGGGGATGTTTTCATTGCCGGAGTTCTGAAGAATAGAGCTCGCCGGGAAGTCAGTGATTCTGCATGGGTTGCATTTCCACAGGTTCTACCACAAAGTAGAACCAAGTTTCTGGTGAATGATGTTGGCGGTTATGTAAACTTTGGCGGTCCGCCGACCGAGCAGTATGACAGGGACGGGGATAGGAATTAACGTCAGCGACGAAAGAGATGGCGAGTGAGGCGGGAAAGAGAAGGCGAAGCACAAGTGACGAATTTTGCTGCGCCAGCATTGTTGGCAGACTTGCTGACGAAATAAAAGTGCTGTAGGCAGAAGTAGCTAAAAATCCCAAGCTGGATTTTGGATATGTAGGGTAATGGGAACTTTGCACGGACGAAGCTGTTGTAGGAAAGAATTGGATAACCATTTTCTAGATAACTAAAGGTCCAATCAGAAGAAAGAACGGATACGGTAATGAATAAATTGCCTTTTCAGAATCGTGAAAAACATTATGTTCTTATTTTTTAAGGAGCAAATTTTCTTTTACCAAAAAATATTGAAGACTTCGTGAATTAAAATTAGTTAGCTTTAAAAATGTGGATTTTTGATTGCTTATTATAAACCAGAATCGCCAAAAACTGTCGTTATTGTTCATTAGACAAGTTAGATTTTCCGAATAAAAGGTCAGGAAACTATAAGTGATAGATAAAAGAGTAATCAAAATTATTCTAAAAACGTTAAGTTGAGATGATATCTTTGTTACTCTTAATACTATGTTCATAAAACATGTTGGTAAATATTAGAAGAAGTGATTCCAGTTAGGCACTTTTTGGTGAACCAATATCTGAGTATAAATAGTGGGCTATATTTATTTACATATAACTTTGAAAGAAACTACTCAACTAAAAACTTAGTAAGTGGGACCTCATCTCAGCCTGATATTGGCTTACGACACCTGCTGCATCTGGCCAGTTCCTGACCTCCGAAACAAGCCAGATGCGGCGTGAAACCCGCTGTGGGGGCAGCACTGCGGCATACACACCAACACAGGGGAACACCAGTGGAAGTGGAAAGGGGAGGGGGAGATAGGCGCACACATGCGCGCTCCGCACGAACACTTGGACAAATAGGCCCACGGACGGACACGGACGCACACAGACGCAGCCACATGGCGGGATGGCAGAATTGATAAATACAAATGGGAAAGCATGCGGCGGCGGCGGCCGAAAAGAGCGATAGTGTGTGGTTGGAAAAAAGGTGGCTCATCTGGTGAAATACGCAGATGCTGGGTGGCTGGGTGGGTTGTCCTTGGGCAAGGATACCGCCCGTTATCAGTGCCAGTTCGGAGCAGACTTTTTGACTTTCCCCCCTCTCGGTTATGCCCCGTTCTCACCTGACACCTGCAGACGATGTCCACATCGGAGGCCAGCATGTCCACCACTTTTCCTTTGCCCTCGTCGCCCCACTGGGCGCCCAGGACGACGTCCACCTTGGACTTGTACATCTTGGTGCGGCCCTGGTGCAGCTGCTCGTAGTGCGTGCCGTTGGTGGCTGACATTTCCCCGGAGCGGAACAGAACGGATCAGATCGGATAGAATCGGATCGGAGCACGGAACACGGATCTCGGGCACTCGTAAGTCGAAGTCTCGGTCAGGTCGTCCGCGAACACGTTGTGATTATTCTCTGCTGGCTGCGCTGCACCAGCATTTGGCTATAAAACAAACAGAGGGCAGTCTGGCGCGGTAGCACGGTCCTACTGCGCGGGGGATTTGCGCGGCCCGTCGCGAGGGTAACACTAAACGCGTTGCGTGGGTGGACACCATACGGTCTTATTTAAGCAGTTTAAAATTATATTCATAATCCGTATTTTATTTTAGGCGGAGTGATTGACATATTCTATTTTTAGGTATAAGAATTGCTCAAATAATATATAATCTATTTGGTTTTTTAAATGTTTATTTTTTTTTTCATTTTTAGTTGAACAAGTGGTATAACTTATAATGCCATAAACATTTAATCGTGGAAAGTACATGGATGTTTTATAATTTTGATCATATAAGAAAATGATAAATAAATTGCGAATATAAGAAATTATTTAATTTGACGGAAACTATCCCAGAAATCATATTCGAAAAACCGTTTTTAGAGTGAATGCAGCTATAAGACCATACGGTAGCACTAAAAAATTATGGTCTTACTTCAGCGATCAGCTGTTTGCGACCGCATTATTTTGTTTATTTAATTTGACCATGTCGGAATCCGAAGAAAAGTGCCACTTGTAAATATTTAGGCAGTATTATATAGAATAACCGTCTAAAATATTTAATCTCTTTCAGCTGTCGGGAAGTGCCCTTCAAGTATACCTGCCCCAAGTGCAATGCTCTTTACTGCAGTGTGGGATGCTACAAATCCAAGGAGCACCTCAAATGCTCCGAGGAGTTCTACAAGTCCTGCATTCAGGACGAACTGTCCGGAGCCAAGGTGACGCAAGAAAGCCAGGAGGACGTGAGGAAAATATACGACATATTGAAAAGGATGCGGGAAACGGACAATGGCTTCTGTCCCCAGGATTTTGATAATGATGGGTTGGAAAATCCTTTGGATTCGGACGGAGATGAAGGAGAGGCAGAAGAAGACGACGGGGAAGAGGAGATTCCCGGAGAGGAAGATCTACTTGAAGACGTCGAAGAAGACATAGCTGCCCGACTAAAGGGCGTCGATATCAACGATGCAGATGAGGTTTGGAGCCGGCTAACCACGGAGGAGCAAGAGGAGTTCCAAAAACTAATCACGAATGGTGACATCATGAAGCTCATGCCGGACTACAAGCCCTGGTGGATTAAGCCAAAGAATTCGAAGATTGTGGTGATTCCCACACCTGAAGAGGCTGCCAAGAAAGGGAGCTCTGCGCCCGAAATATGCGGTAATATCGCCAAGTTCTCGGACATATGTAAGAAGACTCCTTCGCCGTGCCTGCACTTTAATCTGTGGAACATCCTGAGCGCCTACTCCTGTGTGGCTCGTTTTTTTGGCGGCGAACAGAGAACCAATGCCAGCGAAGCGGTGGCTCATCTTGTGAATCTCAGCGCCACCTTAAAGTACGGCACCAACTTCGAGGATGCCGAGGATGCCATTGTTTCCGTCGAGATGGAGGCCATCACCACGGGCAATGGTCCTGCGGGAGCGGCAGCCGTAGGAAGTGCTGGAGCAGGAGGGAATTTCCTCGTAGAAAGCCGGGAGCAACTGCAGCAGGATGCCCGCCAGTTGATGGCTACGAAGGACCACAAATTAGCTGCCCTCAGCGATGTGCTCCACCTCCTACAGCAGACAAAGGCAATTAGCCGGCGGAAGAATCCCCAGGAAGCCGAGTTCCAGAAACTATTTGCCCTGGCCAGCGGAAGTGTGGAGCTGGATCGTACAAAACTGGCCCAGATGGTGCGGAAGATCGAGTTCATGCTGTCGTATGTGGCGCGGGAAGAGGTCCTTTGAGATTTCCGTCAGAATATAAATTTTCAAATTCCATACGCTTGTGTTTCTTCTCCCGGTTTTTTTGGCCTCAAAAATGGAAGGGATCTTCGACCTTTTACTGCAGCCTTTTCTGCACATATTTGTAAGTAGTAAGATA